CCAAGATACTAATTTAAGGGAATTATTACTTGTTAAATGCTTTGTTAACGGCTCAACTCACTTCATTAGTATTCGACTTCCTGCCTAATCAAACATGCCAAACTAGCTACACATAGAGAAAACTTGACATGGAAACCAGAGCAGATACCTGCAAATTCAGCTTGCTACCTGCTCTGAAGGACCTTGATGTTTCTCAGCACCAAACAGCATTTAGGATATAATTCAGGGGAGCCAGCCACATGCACCCCTCATCCATGGATTTTCACTTCTGGTGTTTGCCAAAACTGCATGACCATCATGGCATCTCTGATATATAGCTGCAGAACACTTAGGAAGCATAGAGCCACATTGCAGAGTGTGGCAGCAACCAGCATTGAAACGCTGCCTCAGAGACACTTTGTGTGCACAGACAAAAACTGAACTCATGGTTTGGACCAGGGCTGTTTACATGCACTCTTAGTGTCAGCTTACTTACCCAGTGTCTACCTGCGTTCTCACAGCATCCATGCATTGCGCTGCCTCTAAGTGCCAGTTAGCACTCACACAACCAGGCAACCAGGTTCATATATCTTTCTGTACATCATCAATCTCACAACTGCACCATGTGTCAGTAGCTTATGCAGCAAAAAACACTGCACATGCAAGCAGTCATGTCTCAAAGTCCTAGGTGAGTAGTTCTCACTAAAGTCCATGGAAGCACTTGTCAGTCAGGGGTCTTGGTGCAGTATCTCTCTCATATTGACCGTGTTCGGGTGTCCAACAGGGGTGTTTCTGAGGTCTGGGAAGTGGATCACCATCAGACCTGTGGTTCCATAGCAACCAGTCCAGACACTAGGGCTAATACACTGGGAAGATATACAGCACCAGTTAATGGTTGAGCACTTCTCATCCAGAGGTATCTGGTTAAGTCGTTCAAGGGGGTGGGACAGTCTGTCCACAATATCTAAGGGGAATGGAGATCAGGGAGGGAGCGAGGGGGCTGCTGCCACACAAAGCAGACATAGCGAATTATTCTTCCGTACTTGTGGGGTGGGGGGGTAGGGTTGGGTGGGGAGGGGAAGTGAGAAAACAACTGTGAAGGGGAAGTAACAATATCCAAAAGGTGGGATATGGTAAAGCATGGATAGAAAGGAAGTCAAGCTCTAGGTGACGGGGGCGTTCACCCATGGTCAGGAGAACCCTAGCTTCAGGCTGGGGCAGTGTGTGACCACAACTGGCATGGTCACCTGAAACCCCAGGGGCTAGAGAATGTACAGGTTCATGTAGATTGTTTGTGTGGGCAGATGCAAAGCTGGTGGATCTTACAGGAAGAGCCACCAGAAAGGAGATTTGGATGACTAGGGGGCTCACCAACATGTAGAGGTGGAAGACCACTCACTGCCATCTTCCACCATGCTGGAAATTGAAAGTGCAAAATGGGGGAAGAAAATGGCTGCAACCACACCTGGAGTGGACACGGTAGGTAATTCAACCTGTGAAGGAATGGCCAAAGGACCATTGACTTGTAGGTGTTCAAATGAATAGAACATTACAAATAGACCATGCATTGTACAAGACACACAGTCCTTAATCTTTGGGTATCCAAATGCATTGATTTCTTGTTTGCTGCACACCTCCCATCCCTAGATAATGCTGACCAACTCATTCACATGCATAGTTTTGGACACAGAGACTAGGGTAAGAATGGGGCAGTTATAGGACAAGAGCCAATGGGGGTGTCAGCAGAAACCATTGTGGACAGAGGGAATCAATTCTCATACTTTAGGAACTTCCTGTCAGCAAGGACAAACATCAACAGTGATGCTCCACATCACCTACAGTGTACCAATGTAGCCTTTGGCTATTTGAGAAACAGAATTGTTTATGACAAAATCGTCAAACCCAGTACCAAGTCAGTGTGCGAGGTAGCAGTTTACTTGCCCTTCTATGTGCATCAAAGACATGGGCAATGTATAGCTGACACCTCAAATCCTTAGAGAGGTATCACCAGCGACGCCTTTCCAAAATCTTGCAAATCCAGTGTCAGATTTCATGCATCTATATGAGTGTCCTCTCTTAGGTTACCATCCCCAGTGTCAAGGCACTGCTTACAGCCAATCAGCTTTGTTGGGTGGGCCACATCATCTGCATGTCTGATACAAAGCTTCAAAAATAAGTTCTGTTCTCCAAGTTTGGTCATAGTAAGTGGTTATTGGAAGGGCAGAGGTAACATTTCAAGGGTGTCCTCAAGCCACCATGAAAAAATGCAATATCCCCTACGCCTCAAGGGAATCTCTTGCCCAAAATGGAGAAGAAGCATCTGCAAAGGTGCCAAAAGTCTTAAATGTTTGCAACAAGCTGAGTTGGAGAGCAAGGAAAAATAGCAGAAGGAGTATACAAATACCCAAACATCTCAGCCACCTACCTCTTCAAACATCACATGCGGCATGGTTTAGTTACCTCATCACCACAGCTCTAGAGTGGGAAAACAAAAACATCCTCAATCTCAAGAGACTGCCTAAGAAGAAGGATGAAGAGGATTGGAAAGACAGTTACTCACAGATTCTGTCTCTCCCACAAGCACTTCACAAATTCTGAACTATTTTCTGATCTCATTAAGATTCTTGTGGCTACAATTATTCAGCCAAAATGTAAGTTAATGGACAAATCTTATTGGATCCTGAAGGATGTGGGCAATGGTGAGAAATCTGGCAGAACGCATGAGAAGTCAGGTGACGCTTCTGTCAACAGGGATTATTGCTTGTTGTCGGCCTCATGAACTGCAAATTTTGCCTCTTTAATATGCAGCTTTGTGGGAGAACTAGACATCAACAACTCTGACATGGAAGTAAGAATCAGTAGCTTCTCAAGGACTGAACCAGGATGCATTTAAGGTCTGTTTGTTTGCTCCCTTAATGCTCATTAACCTTGAGCCTACCTTGAGGCTGACAGCATCCTAACCTTGTCTTGCAGCTTTGCACTTTGACTACTGCCCCAGCCATAGGTACCAAGGCACACTACTTCTCCCTTTAGCGCAAACACAAAGCCAGAAAACTTTTTTGTCTTTTTTTCTTGTCATGGTTGTCAGCAGTCCTCAGTCACATTATAGAAGACAGCCTTTGGTCAGGGAGTCCAAGTACAGTAAGTCAGTAGCAGCATTGTATATCATCTATAAGATGCATCTAACATGCACTGCAGCAACACACTAAGCATCTTCAACAGTATCGCAACAGACAAAGGAGAATATTTGGATAGTGGTAACTGGACTAGTAGCTCAGATGCCAGGACTAGTGTTCTAGAGATATGAGTTAAAATTCTACCCCAACTGATGAGGGAATATAAATTGAATTAATCAATGCACTATAAATTTAAGTTGTAGTTGTGATTGTTGTATTATTTTTCCAAAATTCCCTAGGTTCTGAAAAAGCCCCAGAAGGCTGGAAGTTAGCAAACATAATGATATTATTTAAGAAAGGAGGTAAACAATACTTTCTTAACTGTAGGCCAGTTAGCTTAACATCAGTCATCAGGAAATTCTGGAACCTGTCATTAAGGAAGTTTTAATAATGCACAAAAACTCAGGATATAATCAGACAGAGTCAAGCTGGTTTTACAAAAGCCAAATTGTGTTCCATTAATTTAGTTAAGTTTTCTTAATGTAATATGCTAGGTGTATGAAGAGGAGGCAGTAGGTGTAGTATACTTGGATTTTCAAAAGACGTTCCATGAGGTTCGACAGAAAATGTTCGCATGCCAAATAGGACCCATGGGGGCACGAGTAATATATAAGCATGGATGAATGTTTGACAGACGGGAAACAGGGATAAACTGTATTTTCAAGTTGGCAGGCTGTAAATAATGGATTGGAACAAGGATCTGTGATTGTGTCTTACATATTTACAGTTTATATTATAGACAAAGAGGCAGAGCATATTGAATCCAAATTTGTTGACAATACAAAGCCAAGTATGAATGAAAGCTGTGAGGATATAATGATCCTGCAGAGAGATAAACACATTAAGCAAATGACAACAAGCTGGTATATTGAGTATAATCTTGGGAACTATGAGGGTGTTCACTTTCTAGTAACAATTGAAAAGCATTTGTTTTATGTTAAAAGGTCATGAAACCACTAAGTATTGCTGTTTTTAGAGATTTGAGTACAGGGAATACAAAATAAGCATGAAGATTCAGCAAGCAATTAGAATTGCAAATAGCACGTTGGTCTTCATTTCAGAGTACAAGAATAAGGAGGTCTTGCTACAAAAGCCTACAGTTTTGGTGAGATTATAATAGAAAATTTTTAAATGCTTGTTGCAGAGTCAGTTAAATGCTGAGATAGACAGATTTTGGGTGTCTCAGGGAATCAAGAGATATGGGAGCAGTTGCTATAGTGGATATGAAGCAGAAGATTGACCTTGGTCATTCTGAATGACAAAACAGGTTTGGGATGTCATTCGATCTACTGCTGCTCCTATTTTTGCATTAGTGGATTAAGACACCTTGCCCATTTTATGTGTCGCTTTTCCAACAGCCAAGTACTTATTAGCACCAACATGACAAACTGTTTTATGAATGCATGCTTTCAGTGCAGGATCTGATTTATTTAGGACATATACAGAGAAAATCTGGATGTGTGCTTTAATGCATAGGGAGTACCTCTGTGTATTCTCAAAATGTATGTCTAATTTGCAAGGATCCATGTCAGAAAAACATATGTAGTAAATTATCTACGTATGTAATGTCTGACAGGATAATGCAGACAGGCATTTATGAACTTGTTAGACAAACAAGAGGCTGGAAGAACACAGCAAACCAGACAGCATCTGGATGAAAGAAGCAGTCAGGACTGAAGAAGGCTAATACCTGAAATATTGACCAGATGCTGCCTGGCTTGCTGTGTTCTTCCAGCCTCTTGTTTGTCTACCTGGATTCCAGCATTTGCAGTTTTTTTTGTCTCTAACCAATATATAAACTTGTGCATCTTCCACTAACTTCATGCATGTCTGTATTTTTTCTAGATCTTTCTGTGCTTGCCACAGTGCTGGTGATGATTGGAAAGTTTGGGGCAACAACTGCCTTTGCCATAGTTTACGTCTACAGCTCTGAGCTGTTCCCAACTGTGGTAAGGAACATGGGTGTTGGTGTGAGCTCTATGGCCTGCAGGTTTGGAGCCATCATCTCGCCTTACATTTTTTATCTTGGTAAGATAACAGTTTAATTTCTGTATGGATGTAGAATATCAGGAAAAATTTCTTCCATTGGCCCAATACTCATCGACCATCCTCAAATTCACACCACATGCCCATGTTCCAAATGAAGAGATGAGTGGTGTTGTAAATACCCATGAGTTACTAAATCATTCCCTACCCTACTCAGGACTCTCATCACCATGTACTGTACCTATCCCACTTCAGGAGTCAGAGGCTGGTAGCATTTGACTGAATCCAATATCTCATTATGCCTGAGAAACCTGGGTGTATTATTTAAATGAATCCTTTCTGTTGTGGAATTATAGAATGTCTACAGTACGGAAAGAGAACATTCAGCCCATCAAGTCTGCATTGACCCTCTGAAAAGCATCCCATCCAGACCCAGCTCCCCCCAGCCTAACTCTGTAACCTGCATTTACCATGACTAAGCCACTAACCCACACATCCCTGAAAACAGTGGGACAATTTACTTTGGCCGATTCACCTAATCTGCATATCTTTGGACTGTGGGAGGAAACTGGAGCACCTATCTGAACCAACGTAGACACAGGGAGAACATGTAAACTCCACACAGACAGTCACTCCATGCATGAACTGAACCTGGGTCCTTGAGGCAGCAGTGCTTTCCACTGAGCCACAACGAAGAAGTGCTTAAACAGTAATAGGAGTTATTCTATTAATCAGGATATTTGAAAAAAGAGGACAACCATCTCAATACCAACCCAAAACCTGATGATTCCATTTCATCTTCTCCATATTCCACCACCTCCAAAGTCTATTTATCCAGGTATTGCAGAGTTTCCTCCAAAGGTCCATTAACCACTTTGCTGGTTGCTGGTCACCCATCTATGTTACTTTGGTATCCTGGTTATGGATTACCTTTTCCTTTGCAAAGATATAGAAAGGTTAACATTTCATTCAGAATATAATTCTACTTCATCATCTGCAACCATCCCATTGTGAAAATATTATCAGGTGCAAGCAGTGCTTTCATTGTTCACTCAGGTTCCACCACCTTTGATCTCAGAAGCCGTGGTAGAAAAGAGAATTTAAGGAAAGGACTGTATGGCTTTGGAGGAGGCAGGAGGCTAGTGATGCAGTGAGATATATTGAGGTGATATAGCATTGCCTGCCTACTCTATCTGTCTCCATAAAAATGGCACAGTGATGCAGAATAAGGATTTCTGTACTAAATTTAATCAGTTAAATATCCCTAAATTCAAGTCCAAAGTTATATATTTTTGAATTGTAAGTAATTCCACCAGTATGGGAATCAGATGAGAATTTAGATTGGAGGTCAAAGATTGGTGATAATCATACTAAATGGCAGAGGAGGGCTAAGGTGCTGTATGGCCTGTTCTTGCTCCTTTTCCCATGTTCCTTGACTCCTTGCATGGACTACTACAAACACACCTATAAAGAACGCATTAATGTATGATAGCCAAAATGTTGATATTAATCATGAATTAACTATTGCTATTGAAGTAATAAACTTTAGTACTGTCATATACACATTGAAGAATAAGTGGAAAACCTAAAAATGGATACAAACATTTTGATTAATATGGAACACTTCTCCATGATTCACTTGGGTCAAAACCTTTACGCTGATTTCTAATTAAATGATGGTATCTCCAGCCCATGGCTAAGACAGGCTCCACACCTCAGCAGAGTGCCCAAATTTACATAAGGCCAACACCACTTAAAGGTGGCTGACACTACTTAAAGTCAACCTCTCCCTCTCAAAGGCTGGGTGCCTCTGCCTGCAGCAGTTACTGGAAGTGGCTGAAGAAAAATCTCTTGAGCATGAAAAAGGCAAAAATATCACGTTTGGTCAAAAAGCAGGTTCCATGCTTCTCTGATCTAGCAGAATCCTTGGTGCAGAAATGGAGGATGATGGTCTTTGATCCAGTTGGCTAACTTATCACTAAACCAATGGGGATCAGATCAAACTGTGCAGTCTCACCATATGCAGGCATGAATTTTGATGGACAATTAAGTAACTGACCAAAAGAGTAGTTCCTATGTACAGCCATCATTGGTGAAGCCAGAGCCTAAGACATTTCACAAGGAAGTGAAGGCTTAAGTCTTTGTAACCATCTTTAGCCAGATGGTCTGAGTGAATGATCCATCTTGGAGTCCTGCTGAAATCCCACACATTGCAGAAGGAATTCATTAGACAATTGGATTTACTCCATGAGACCAAGAAACAGCTGAGCACAGGGAACAACAGCTGTGAATTCTGACAACATTCCAGCTGTAGCACTGAATGTTTGTTCTCTAGAACAAACTGCTACCTTAGCCAATCTGTTCCAGGTAAACTATGACAAAATGAAAAATTGCCCAGCTTCAGAAAAAAATATAAAATCCAGCCAATTACCACCCGTCATTATAGTAACCCAATAGTCTGTGTGACATAAAGCGTGTGATTTATACATTTTTAACATAAATTATTTTGCTGTTTGCATTAGGAATGAGTAGCACGTACATCTTGCTCTGTGTGTACAAGGGGTTTAATGATTAATTTGTCAGTATTTCAGGATGGATTTTTTAAAAAATCAGTATGAGAGAGGTAATTCATGTTGTGAATTTGTTTGTATTGGGAACGTTTTATGAGCTGACAGAATAAACAGAATAAATTGGAGATCATTAGCCTGCTTCCAGTTAGAAGGATGGGATTAGTTTAATTTTTGCCTGGAGGAAGTACCCATAGTTTGGAAAGCTTTTAGATTCGGATCACTGATGGTCAGGATAAAGCTGAATGTATAAAACAGCTCTCCTAGAGCAAGGAGTTAATTCAGAAGAGTTAGAAATAGGGTACCTCAGTGTAAGGGTTTTAGTTTGACAATTGCAGACCAAAAGTAATAAAACCCTGAAGATATTATTTGAAGCCAAGAAACCCTAAGCTCAGTTGCATGAATACTCAAAAGGCTACCAGACTCTCAAGACCTGGAACTAAAAGCAACAGTTAAGTCAAACCCACAAATGTGAATGATCGTTGATGTTTCAGTAGGCTAAAGGTGTGCCATTGGGATAAATTGAATATTGTATTTTTAATATCTTTTGAATTGTGTTATATGCAAGTAGCTCATTTTTTTTCTATTTTAGGTTGTTTCTTTGTGAAATAAACTTCTATTTTATTGTTAAAACCAGATCTGCAGCATTGCATCCTTATATTTCAGTAAAAACAAACCTCATTAATTAAAAAAATTCCGACAAGTCAGATTTAACCCGGGATCTGACTTGTCCAGTAATAATATCACTGAGATCAAAACATTAGGTGTCAGCAAGAGCTATCAAGTGGCACTTACTTATTAATAATCTACTTGCTGATGCTCAGTGTGCAATCTACAGGCACCACAAGCTCCAAACTTCATTGCAACCCTATTCTAAACATGCACAAAATGACTGAATTGCAGAATGAGGTGAAGGTAACTGTCCTGGACATCAAAATAATATTTGATTGAGTGGGCTAATTATAGAACCCTAATAAAATTGAATGGCATGCCCACGTGCAAAAGACCTGGATGATGTTTAGTTTTAAGCAGATTGTCGATAGTAATGTTCACTGGACACAAATGCCAGCAAGACAGGTTCTAACCAACACCCCTTGACAATCAATGAATCCCACCCAACCTAACAACATTTTGGGCATTACCATTGATCAGAAACCAACGACCAGCCACCTAGATGCACAAGTACATCAGAGGCTGGGTATTCTCTGGTGCATAATTCAGCCCATGATGTCCCATATCCTTTTCACCATCAATAAACTACAGTTTAGAATATGATGGAATAATCTAACTTGCCTGAATAAATTTAACTCCAATAACACTCAAGAAAGCTTGACACCATTCAGGACAAAGCTTCTCACTTGACTGGCTCATCGATCGCATTAAACATTCACACCCTTCACCATGGATGCACCATATTAGCAGTCTGCATTATCTACAGTGAAGTACTTATTAAGATTTATTCAACAGCCCCTTCCAAATCCAAGACCACTAACACCAAGAAGAACAAGGGTAGCAGTTATAAAAGCACACAACCACATGTTAAGTTCTCTTCCAATTCACATGCCAATCTGACTTGAAAATACATCACCATTCCTTCATCCTTTCTAGGAGAGAAATTGTATCAGGCTTGAGAATAGCAGTGGGAATTCTTATTGTGATCAGGAAATGATAGTTCTCTGCAGTTCAGTCTGGATACAAACTTAGTGCTGCTTTCTTGTCTCAGCTCACCCTAACAGTGCCATAAGTGCACTCTGACCTCACAGATTCCAAGCAGTTCAAGATGGCCACTCACCACCACCTTCTTAATTAACCTGAGGGATGGTCCACATTCCATGAAAAAAAAATCAAAATTTCTCAAAATTTTAAACAAAAACCAAAGTAATGCCAATCCAATTCTCCAGTTACTGATTGGGAGCCAGTTTCCTACCTGTTTGCCAGGGAACGGTACCTGACGAAGAATCAAAAACAGCCAGAAGAAAACTAACCTCAAAATTAGAAATGAAAATAATAATTGCCAGGCAACTTGAATGTACGAACATTGAGAATACAGAAAAGGGTAGTTATTGGCCACGAGACTTGGTTAATTGGACTGTCTGTGACTTTATATTGTTGTGCTGGTTTTACAATTTATCATCTATATCTTTGCAGGTGTTCAGCATGAGTTTCTGCCTTTTATTGTGATGGGGTGTTTGACAGTGTTTTCAGCAATTCTGGTTTTGTTTCTGCCTGAAACAGTCAATGTCCCTCTCCCAGAAACAATTGACCAAATGCAAAAAATTAAGGGGTAAGTGTTTATAGTCTTTATGGTTTAGCTTTTTCTCTCAGTTCTTTTCTGTGACCAACTTCAAATTTACTTTTAAAGCAGAACATAGAGGTCAGCTTCTGGCTCCCTTTTCAACTTGTAGAGCATTTGAAGTTGAAAAGGGATCCAGAATCTAACTTTTGTGATCCACTTAGAAGAGATAGAGTCATAGAATCATGCAGCACTGAAACAGACCCTTCGGTCCAACTCATCCATGCTGACCAAGCATCCCAATCTGACCTACTCCCATTTGCCAGCATTTGGCCCATATCCCTCTAAACTCTTCCTTTCCAGATGCCTTCCAAATGTTGTAATTGTACGCACCTCCCCCACTTCCTCTGGCAGCTCATCCCATACAAGCACCACCCTTTGCATGAAAATGTTACTCCTCAGCTCCTTTTGAAATCTTTCCCTGCTCACCTTAAACCTATGCCCTCTAGTTTTGGACTCTCCCACTCTAGGAAAAAGACTTTGGCTCTTCATCCTATCCATACCCCTCATGATTTTACAAATGTTTATACAATCAGCCCTCAGCCTCAGATGCTCCAAGGGAAAAAGCCCCAGCTTATTCAGCCTCTCCCTTTAACTTAAATTCTCCAGTCCTGGCAATGTCCTTGTAAATAATGCCCAATTCTGAGGAAGGGTCACCGGACCCGAAACGTTAACTCTGTTTTTTCTTTCACAGATGCTGCCAGACCTGCTGAGCTTTTCCAGCAACTTTATTAATGTCCTTGTAAATCTTTTCTGCACCCTGTCAAGTTTAACAAGATCCTGCCTTTCGAACTGTGACCAGAACTGTACGCAGTATTCCAAAAGTAGCATCACATCAAACACTGGGTTGAATATGTGTGTTTTCTTAAGAGAGAGGCAGAGTGAATTCCAAGGAGCACCAGCTGTTTGTGTAGTGGCAGCTCAAGAGTCTTGCCACGGAAGATAGAGGGGGTTGTGTAGTGAAGTTAGTGAGGAAAGGACAATGGGTTGGAGAAGTTTGCAATTATAAGCCAATGGAGAGATTTGTAGACAAGAACGAGAATGTTAAATTCACTGCCTTGGTACAATAAGGAGTTCAGCAATGACGGGAAGTGCGAGGCGAATGACATTTAGTGTAGGACAGACTGTGACTGACAGAGCCTTAGATATATTGGAGTTTGTGGAGGATGGGAGCCTTACAAAAATGTCATTTGAAAAGCCAAGTGGAGGGAAGTCAAAATAATTTGGTAAAATATGGAATGAATGCAGGTAATAGAGTGGAGGTAGAAGTTAACAAAAATAATATTCCAGATCTACAGCAGACCATTCAGCCCATTCAGTTCCATCCAAACCTCTCCCCACTGCTCTTTTACTAACTCTGTCAGCATATTCCATTCTTCCTTATGTACTTGTCAGTTCCTGTCAATTGTATCTATAAGACATAGGAGCAGAAATAGGTCATTCGGTCCATCATGTCTGCTCTGCTATTCAATGAGATTATGGCTGATCTGATAATCCTCAATTCCACCTTCCAGCCTTATCCCCATGAACCTATGAAACCTTGATAATTAGAAATCTATGTCAGCCCAGCCTTAACATCCTTCCACAGATTCAGCACCCTTTGAGTGAAGAAAACATCTTTGTCACCTCTGAATAGGTGACTCCTTACTTTGAGATTATCCTCCCCGGCCATAAACTCTCCCACAAGGAGAAACAACTTCAGTACATGTACCCTGTTAAGCCCCCTAAGAATCCTAGAAACCCTGCAGTGTGGAAGCAGACCATTCGACCCATCAAGTGCACACTGACCCTCCAAACAGCATCCCACTGCCCTACCCTGTCCCTGTAATCTTGCATTTCCCTAGGCTAATCCACCTAGCCTGCACATCCCTGGTCACTATTGGCAATTTAGCGTGGCCAATCCACTCAGAGGAAACCAACGTAGACACAGGGAGAATATGCAAACTCCACACAGTCACCCGAGGCTGGAATTGAACCTGGGTCCCTAACCACTGAGGCACTGTGCCATCCAGCCACAGTGCTGCTCCTTGAGTTCTTCTAAATTTCAATCTGCATAAGCTCATCCAAGTCAAAACTCTCTTCACAACAAAATCCCTCCATACCCAGGATCAACCCAATGAATCTTCTCTGGACTGCCTCCAACGCTAAATATATCTTTCCTTAGACGAGGGGAACAAAATTATTCACAGTATTCCAGTTGTGGTCTGACTAGTGCCTTGTATAGTTTTAGCAAGACTTTTGTATTCTATTCCTTTTGAAATGAAGGTCAACATTCCATTTACCTTCCCTAATACCCAACACTATTCGCTTCAATTGCCTCTGATGGGAGCAGGTTCCATATTTCTTACACAAATTGCAACCTAGTTCAACTTGAGCAAACAACGAAGAAAGAGTGAAGTCACCGAAAATGGAGGAACAATTTTGGCAGGAGATGCAAAAAAATGGCTTCATTCTTTTCAAAAGTTAAACAGGAAAATGTTGATTCATTCACAACTTACTATCAGACAAGCAATCTGAGTGCACATTTCAGAGATCCTAGTGTTGTAAGGGACTATTGAGAAAGAAACCTGGATGTCATCAACATACCTATGGAAGCTGTGTTACAGATGATACCACTGAAGGGGAGGCTGCAAATGAGGAAGAGGAGCCAGAGCTAGAACCTTGTGAGTTCTATCAGTGGCTGTGTGACTGTGTAAGAGAGGCCATTGCTGAAAATAAATTGGTTGTCTTGGGACAGGTAGGAGTGCAAACTCTGGAGGATGAATTGCAGATGAGCTACGAAGATAATGAAGGTGTTGACATGTTCATCGTGTCAAATACTTCAATAGAATTGCAGAAGACAGGACAAATAATGGCTCATGACAGCAGTCACTGAGGAAGTGCCTTCAAACTGAAAGGTAATTTCAGTGTAACGGGCAGTGCAAGATCATGCTGAAAGGAGTCAAACAAGGAACTGTAGGAAAGTTTAACACTATTCATGTTTATTGATAATATACTTTTTACCCATTTTGGTGAATACAGGAAAATTATTGCAAGGATTATCAACCTGTAGAATTGTGTCATGGTTAAGTGAGGAGTATGATGAAATGTTCCTCACTTGCCTGAATGAGTGCAGCTCTAGCAACATTCAAGAGGCTTGACACCATCTAGGACAAAGCAGCCTGGTTGATTGGCACCACATCCACGAACGTCCACTCCCTCCGCCACCAATGCTCAGTGGCAGCAGTACTATCCACAGTACGCTCTGCTGAAATTCAATTTTACACAGCACCTTCCAACCCATGACTGGTACTGTCTCCGATGACAATAGCAGCAGATATGTGGGAACAACACTCTGAGGTTCAGCACCAAGTCACTCACCATCCTGACTTGGAAATATATCACAGTTTCTTTGGTGTCACTGCGTTGAAATCCTGAAACTCCCTCCCGAATGGCATTGTTGGTGTACCAATACCAAATGCATTGCAGCAGTTGAAGAAAATAGCTCACCACTACGTTCTCAATGGCAACTAGTGATGGGCAATAAATGCTGGCCAGCCAGCAATGCCCAGTTCCCATGAATGAATGAAGAAAAACTGCACCTAAACCATGCAGACTGCAGAATTCCATAAAAACAGCTCACCACCGCCCTCTCCAGGGCAATTTCTGTGGACAATAAATGTTAACCTTGCCAGTCATACGCACATTCCCATGACGAAATAAATTTTAATTGATGACCACATCTTCTACTTTAAAATGAAACAGTGACTACAACTCAGAAATCTTATTTGGATCCCAGGTTCTGAGGTTATCAGAAAATACAGTTTTTTTGGTGAAAATATTATTTTTCTCTTGTGTTTCTTCAGCAGTCACAAGAGTTTAACATTGCATTCCTGAAGACTTCAGGACATTCCTGGAAGATTGCAATGTTTTGAGACTGCCAAGTTGGTAGCACCTCTGCTGGAGTTTCTTATCACTGAACACAGCACAGATCTGGCAGGGAAATTATGAACTCTTGATCTGTAGATCTCAACACCACAATCTGCAATATATCTACTTGCAAAACATTGAATGTTATACATCACAGCGCAACTATCTATTATCTGGAATTCTTGCAACATCACTTTCAACACAAGTTAACAGTCCCAACAAGGGAAATAAGTCTAACATGTATGTTAACCTGATGTGTGTTAGTATGTTATCATCTCATGCATTCCAACTGTACTTGTATATTTCATGCTCAATGTAGCTAGTTTGTCTTTGTCCCTCCAGCCCATTGAGCCACGTGTTACTGTGTTTGCTATCAGTATCAGCTTGATTGAAAGGTGTCAGATCCTCAGGGGTTAATTTTGCTTTCCAATCTTTCCTGACATTGATCCAGCATATTGCGTTATACATACTGAGCATAATATTAACATTTTTGTATCACATGACATGAAATCTTTTCAAATGACTGAAATCTGATATGAAATGATTGTATTTACCGATTGAAATATCCGTGGCAAGTTTCAATTAACATTCATTATGACAGCGCTGTTTTTGGTTTAACTGCAGGTTTGAATGCCGATGTATTCACAGAATGCGTGGCCATTTATATAAGAATGAAACAACCAGAGAACCTTTTGCGATGGTCTGTAAAAAGGAAGAAAATTAACCCGACCCTAGCAGCAGATCTGCAGCAGTGGAGAAATGGAAAGTTAATTTTTTTTTCAGTTGATAACCAACATTATCTTCTATTGAAATAAATTTAGCAATGCAATCAAGATACTCAGGGAGCACTGTTAAATACTCGAATTAGTCGGGTGTAACACTAGGAGTTTCAATTTTCTCACTTACATTGTTACCAGGAATATACTTTGATCTAACTTAAAAATCTTCAGCCAACAGTTTGAGCTATGAGGTCAATTTTGACGTTTGGACAACAGACTGTTTCATTATACTGACTGAAAATAAAACTGCTGCTATTTTAAGAAACCAGCCTCAATAACATTCAGTTTGCATGCTGGAGGCCACCAATGGGAGTTCTAGTGAACTTTGCTGCATTGAGGTCTTCCTATACTGGGCTGCCCTGACTGTCAGTAAACTGCTTGGAGTGTGCAAACAATATAGCACATGTGGTTCTGGGACAGGAGCAGTTCAGATCATTTTTGTGGAACATGATGGAGTGTTCCTGCTCCACTGCACTCAACAAAAATAATAATACTTACCTTGCTGGACTTATCAAGTCCCATCCACTCGAGACCTGGTCAGAATAAGCCAAAACATGCTGTGACTAATTCAAACCTATAAGGCAGTCATGATCCTTAGACTTCTGACTTGAATTTTAACATGAAGCCATCATCAAAAGTGCCATCAGCTTCTCTGGTACTAATAGGCAGAATGGGTATCAACCCCATTTTGAGTCCATCAGTCCCCTGTGTGGTGATTATAATGAGGTCAGCCTGATTGGGGCTGTTAATCTGGTCCAATCAGGGAGACCTGGCTGACAGATAGGAACAGGAGAGTCAGACATCCTGTACAATCTGGGAGCTGACTCTGACGGAGCTGGATCAGTGTCAAGCATGCTCTGCCTGTAAATAAAGGATGACTTGGTTACGGGATACCAGCCTCTGTGGAGTTATTTCAGTAGTGACAGGAGAAAAGCACGTTCCTGAAGAAATTTGCTTGCAACAGTCACCTTTGCACTTCTGGCATGATACCATTATTTGGGAAGGTTGACTCATCCAATCCTGCCATTGAAGACTGGACCCAGTATGTGGAAAGAATGCATTATATTTTCCAGGCAAGTGACATTGGGACAGATGAAAAGCAATGAGTAATTTTCCTGACAGCTTGTGGACCCACAGCTTTTTTTGATTATTAGGAGCCTTACTTTCCTTGAAGCACCAGTGTAGCAGCCTGTGACTGCTGAAGTGAAATAAAAATCATTAAGAAGGGAGGCCAGAGATACAGGCACAGTAACTGAAATAAACAGGGCATCAAAACTGGCCAAAAAGCAATGTATGCTGAGAATGCCTGAGCCAAGACAGAAACAAGAGACAATTGTGCATAGGGACAAGTCCTTGCAAGATCCAAGCCCAGACAATTGAAATCAGAGAGGCACCAAAACACGTCAGGAAGTGCGAAAAGCCAATTCAACCCTTCCTGACAAACAAACAACACTAGATGCATGGAACAGACATGCCTCAGTAAGAAGAAGACCAGGTGTATATTCTGGGATAAAACCAGATATCCAAGCCCCCAGAGCAGATACATCAAAGGGGTCACTGTTAAGCGAGCCATTAGCTGCATTTCAAGGTGATAAAGCCAATTAATTCAATATTTCTGATTGTTCAAGTCTTTGGAAATTTCCAGAAGGTAACCAGAAGGGTATAAGAACCCAGCCCAGCAGGATTCAGGGTACCCCCACGATCCAGCTTACCTAGAGGCACATTGGGATACAGCAGTGATTGGAGCAGCTTGCCCTCTGACCAGAGAGAGAGAGAAAAAGTCAAACTGTGAAGAGAGGAACAGACTGAACAATTCATCAGATGAGCAAAGTTACGAGTATCTGGGAAGTATTTCAAGTTTCTAAAGAATCGGGTAGCTAGCAATAGAGTTGTTAAAAAGTGTAAAATTTAAATCTTAACCTTTGTTGTCTTCAAATAAAGTTGTGACCTGGTTCACTGACTGCAGACTCGTGCTGTGTGGTCCTTTCCTGATGCATGCGAAGCTGCCTGGGTAAATTAATATTGTGTACACTGGTTGAGGAGTCTACAGGGTCTTAAGAGACACCCTGTTTCAGACAACATCAGATACAAAAACCTTTCAAGAGCTGACAGATTTAGTTAAAGAACATCATGACCCCAAGCCTCCTCTAATTCAGTCATGTGATTGGTTTTACTCGGCAATTCAAGAACCAGGGGAATCCGTATCGGGATTTTTGACTAGGGTAAAACGACTTTGGTTTAACCCTTAATGGGATGCTGAGAGACCGGTTGGTATGTGGAATTAATGATGTAACCATGCAAAAGCACCCACTAGCTGAAGCCCAACTGGACTTCAACCAGGCACAACAAGGGCTTTATCATTGGAAGATGTGGCAGGTGGAGCATATGAGCTGCAGAGTATTCTGATGGAGTGGACACCCTCACCAGTCTGACTGACCTTGAGGAACACCACGTGAGTGAAGGCAATTGCATGGCCTCACACAGGACATATCCTGAATAGAGGGGCTCTAGGTCAGCCCACAGCAAAACTCCAAAACAAAACCAAGCCTCGGCCAAATGCATAAAGCTATCTCTAGGATCCAGACCAGCACATCATTGTAGTTACTGTTGATATGCGGACTCAAGACAGCAAAAGATCCCACTAGGCCTGAATGGAGTAAGAGAACTCATAGGCCGGTACCCAGGAGACTCCATGCCCTAGAAAGTCCACCTAAATCTAGAGTCATAGAGATATACAGCACAGAAACAGACGCTTGGTCCAACTTGTCTACGCTGGCCAGATATCCTAAATAGATCTAGTCCCATTGGCTAGCATTTGGCCCATACCTCTCTAAACCCTTCCCATTCATATGCCCATCAAGTTGCCTTTTAAATGTTGTAATTGTACCAGCCTCCACCACCTTCTCTGGCAGCTCATTCCATACACACACCACACTCTGTGTGAAAAAGTTGCCCCTTAGGTCCCTTTTAAATCTTTCCCCTCTCACCTTAAACCTATTTTTGGACTCCCCCACCTCAGGAAAAAGACCTTGTCTATTTACTCTGCCCATGTTCCTCGTGATTTTATAAACCTCTATAAAGTCAACCCTCAACCTCTGACGCTTCAGAGAAAATATCCCCAGCTTAATCAACCTCTCCCTGTAGCTCAAACCCTCCAAACCTGGCAAATCTTTTCTGAACCCTTTCAAGTTTCACTCCATCTTTCCTAAAGCAGGGAGACCAGAATTGCACACAGTATTCCAATAGAGGCCTAACCAATGTCCTGTACAGCAGCAGCATGATCTCCCAATTCCTATACTCAATGCACTGACAAAAAACGCAAGCATACCAAACACCTTCTTCACTATCCTGTCTACCTGCGACTCCACTTTCAAGGAACTAGGAACCCGCACTCAAGATACCGTTGTACTCAGAGGTAACCTTCTTTGCTGTCCACTACACCTCCAATTTTGGTGTCACTTATAAACTTACTAACCATACCTCCTATGTTCACATCCACATCATTTATATAAATGACAAAAAGCAGTGGACACAGCACTGATCCTTGCGGCACACCACTGGTCAAAGGCCTCCATTTTGAGAAGCAACCCTCTACCACCAACCTCTGTCTTCTACCTTTGAACCAATTCTGTATCCAAATAGCTTGTTCTCCCTGTATTCCATGTGATCTAACCTTGCTAACCAGCCTACCATGAGGAACCTTGTCAAACGCCTTACTGAAGTCCATATAGATCACGTCCACCACTCTGCCCTCCTCAATTCTCTTTGTTAATTCTTCAAAAAGCTCAATCAAGTTACTTTGGAACAGTTAAATTGCTCGGCAGCATTCAAATCAGAACCAATCAAAATAAACACCTGGTTAAATGCTGACCCGGTTCTAAGAGAGGTTGATACTGGCAGGGCCTCTTCAATGATCACACAACCAATCTTTAACAAAATTCACTCTGGACTCCAACGCTTAAGTTTGCAAAAGACCTCGACCAGACTGAGAACCTATACTGGGGTACATTTACAGATTAACACTACATTAGTGTGGTGTTCCCCCCCCCCCACCCCCGCAACCTCCTCTGACCAAAAAAAAGGGCATTGTGTGGAGGTCAGGCAAGGTAAGATTCTTATCTTTCTTTTAAGTGTACAATGGCGGAGATGGCAGTTAGGGCACTGGTATGCTCCTCCTGCCAGATGTAGGAAATCAGGGAGCAGTCTAGTGACCCTGACAACTACATCTGCAGGAAGTGTGACCAGCTGCAGCTCCTCACAGACCGCATGGTTGGGTTGGAGAAGCAGCTGGACACACTGCGGTGCATACAGGGGGCAGAGGGAGAGGTACACACTAGCTTTAGGGAGGTGTTCACACCACAGGTCCAGACAGATAGATGGGTGACCTCCAGGAGAGGCAAGCAGGTAGTGCAGGAGTCTCCTGTGGATATTCCCCTCTCAAACAGATAAACCACTTTGGATACTGTTGGGGGAAAAAGCCTCTCAGGAGATAGTACAAGCAGCAGCCAGGCCTATGACACCACAACTGGTTCTGCTGTAGAGCAGCATGGGGCAAAGTCCAGGCGAGTGATAGTAGTAGGTGACTCAATAGTCAGCGGCTCAGGTGTTTCTGTGGGTGTGAATGAGACTCTAGGATGGTGTGTTTCTTCCTGGTGCCAGAGTCCTGGATGTCTCTGAGCGGGTACAGAATGTCTTGAAACAGGAGGGAAAACAGACAGAAGTCATATAAAAAAGAGCGGGCGGCACAGTGGCTAGTACTGCTGCGTCACAGTGACAGGGACCCAGGTTCGATTCCACCCCGGGTGACTGTCTCTGTGGACTTTGTACATTCTCCCCGTGTCTGCGTTGGTTTCCTCCGGGTGCTCTGGTTTCCTCCCACAGTCCAAACACGTGCGAGTTAGGTGGAATGGCCATGCTAAATTGTCACATAGTGGCCAGGGATGTGTAGGTTAGATGTGTTAGCCATGGGGAATATTGGGTGGGGATGGGTCTGTGTGTGATGCCCTTCAGAGGGTCAGTGTGGACTTGTTGGGCCGAAGAGTCTGTTTCCACACTGTAGGGATTCAATGATATATGATTAAGGGTACAACTTTGGTTCCACTCTCCTATGAGAAGCAGTTGGTACGGATTGTAGTAAAAGGCTCAGGTCCAAGTATAATGGGGAGAAATTGGTTGAGAAAGATTCATTTAGGTGGCTCAACATTTTTTGATTATAAAATGGCTTTCTGAGTGAAGTCCACATTAGGGAATATCAAAGGAGCTAAGGCCACCTTGCATGTTGATCAGGAAACAATTCCATGATTCTGCAAGGCCCACCCAGTGCTGTTTGCCTTACAAGCAAAACAAGAGGCAGAAATCAGGAGGCTGGAAAGCGTGGGAATCACAAAACCAGTACAGTTTACAGAATAGGCAGCACCAGTCATATCGACTGTGAAGACTTACCGATTGGTTTGCCTTTGTGGGGCATTTTAAACAAACGGTAAACCATTTCTCGCAGCCGAATAAATACCCAGTCCCTCGTATAGAGGATTTAGATGCAAAACTCATGGTCTCTGTCCTTCATGAAGCTGAACATTAACCATATATACTTGCAATTGTGATTTGATGAGGATTCACAGAAGTAGCTACTACCACAAGTGTTTGCATCAATATACGAGACTGTCATTTGGGGTATCATCAGCCTGTACAATTTTTCAGCGAACGATGAAGAACATTTTACAAGGTCTGCCCCAAGTCACCATTTATCTAGATAACATGCTAACAACGGGGAAG